ACTAATAGAGCGAAGTATGCTTCGAAACGATGCGTTAGGGAACAAAGGCAGAGGGTGCGTTTAGTACTCGTTGCTGCGTTGTAGGGTAAATTTAATCTTCCAGCAATTAACTTAATTTGGCTGTAACTCCGTTTCTGTCCTCACCAGATCCCTTGACTGGCCTTCAGATCCTTTGACTAATTAGTCTTTCGTACCTCTTATTTTACCTACATGGTTGTTTTTGTTATGTGAAGTTCGTACTGTCAAAAGGAGTGGCTGTAATTTACATAAACATGTTTACGTGACTTCAGAAAAGGTCCCTGGAATGGATGAAAATGTAAACCAGGATCAGAGTTCCACACCACAACCGTCTTCTGAGAAGCCTGGACCGTCAAAAAAGGAAGAGGATAGTGCAAGGTGTGGCATTTTTGACGCTTACGTGACCTGTGAACTTTCAGGCTCTCAGTACTGTGTCTCTTCAAATGCTTCGAGAGTTTGAAAGGGTCTTCATCGGTGTATCATTAACTAGCTAGATTGCTTTTACTACAAGACCTCTACTGCTCAACGATATGTTGGAAAGCTTAGAACAGCGCCTAAAACAATGGAAGCATTTTGGATCCATTCAAAAAACATGGAAATGAATGGAAAAGAATAGCGTTTGGAGATTACTGCCCAGATCGCATCAGTTGCGGACTTCTGCGGCTTATCATTCACTTTATATCGTGGTATGAGCACACTTTGGAAGTGCGTTCATACTTTGTGTCAGCGTCCGCCAGCTCTTTGAGCTACTAGGAAAGTATAAGATCCTCAAAACGCCGGAACGCCCAGAATAGCAGATCGATACCTATACTTTCCTAGTTGCTGAAAACGTAACCGCAAAGAATGAACGCGTTTCAAGTTTGGACACCCATGAACCGTCATACATCTCCCTAATGAGTATGCCAGTTTACTAATGCACCGATGTCGCTAGTTGGTTGACTAGCTTGTCGGGATTGTCCTTAGTATTGACAAACGGCGAAGAAGCCGGAACGTTAGCCGATAAGTTTGGGAATAGGTTCCAGCGTTTTTTTTTTGGGTTCTGACAAATATATAGTATAGTAAAAGGTATTGCAGCGTTGTGATGTACTTGACAAACTAATGGCCACACATTTAGCTATTAAAATGTTAAGTCGAAGACGACGAAGCACTTGCCGAGGAACTAACTTTACTCTGCTTATAAAAACACACAAGTTCTCGGCCACGGAAGACCTGACCACAGTTAGTCCTACGACGGTTAAAGTCAGACCAATCATCAGCTGTGTAGGAGGACCTACTGATAGGATCGCGTGGTTCCTCAACACTATTTTGACACAGTTGCTTCGATACATACCGTCACACCTCTCCAACACTCAGATGTTCCTGAACCACCTCGCTAGAGCACATCCAAACAGCTCCAGCGTCATGGAGTCCTTTGACGTAGAAGCCCTCTACACGAATGTCAGTAACAGTGCTGCTATGGAAGCCCTTTTTGAGCTCCTCAATCAGCACCGTGACCTGATTAATATGCATGGGCTTTCCGTAGATCAAATAATGATGCTGCTGAAAGAATGTCTCAGCTGTAACATCTTCAGATGGTCTGGAATGTACTTCGAGCAGATTAGGGGCTTAGCTATGGGACAACGGCTGGCGCCCACTTTAGCCATTGCTTTCATGGCTAAAATCGAAGCGCCTGTTTTAGATCAAGTTCCACTGCTTTATTGCCGATACATTGATGATTGTTTCGTAATCTGTTCCACACAAGAGGAAATGGACAACTATTTCATCCTAATGAACGAGCAGTCCGAACATATAAGACTAACGCGTGAGAAGCCAGTCAATGACTGGCTCCCATTTCTTAATGTCCAGATTAAACTTGAGGGGTCCACTTATCTCACCAGGTGGTATAGAAAACCCAGCAATAAAAACATCATCGTCCATTTTCGATCAGCCCACCCACTTCAGACTAAGCGGGCTATCGTCAGGAATATGTTCCGGACCGCCGCAAAGGTCTGTACGGGAGCGAGCGAAAAGAAAGAGTCACTGAAAATGGCACGTGAGATTGCTGAGCAGAATGGCTACCACCTCCCCTCGGCTGTGCGTAGAACTAGAACAGATGTTGCTGCGAGTAGACCAGGTAACCCATTGATGGACAAAATACCATTCATGCTTACCTTTCATCTCCGATGAAGTAAGCACTTCCATAAAGAAATGCCTGAGGAGATCGGGTCTACAGAACATTGTTGGTTAGTAGAGGTTCCTCCTAATAACCTAAAACGTCGCCTGGTTCGAAACCGCCTCTACGATCGCACATGTGTCACCCCTGATTGTGTAGTTTGCCCTGCTGGCAGGGAAGGAGACTGCATAGTCACAGGTGTGGTCTACAAGATCTCCTGTCTAACTTGTGGAGATGAATACATTGGTGAAACGGCTAGGCCACTCCATGTGCGGATCAAGGAGCATCTGGATGGAAAGTCTAGACTGCGTGTATCAACCCCATTAGGATGCCACAGGGTACAAGAACACAACGGAGACGATTTTGGAGTCACGGTAGAGGTTTTAGAGCGCGAAGACCAACTTTCCGCGCGAAAAACTCTCGAAGCATTCTGGATTCAGGTCAGGAATCCAAGAATGAACCGAAGGGGAGAATGCTTATCAATCACGCGAGAGCTATCTCCCTATATAAGATTAGCATTTAACGGCTCTGGATAGTCTCAGTTCGAAAACTTCTATCACCGAGGCTCGTCGTTTGATCCGGTGAATTCGGTTGAGGTATGTTGGTTGTTTCTTTCGAATTACGTGCTGGACTTAGAGGGGGGTCGAAAGGGTAGGGCGTGCTTTGATGGTGGGTCGGAGATCATTAATTCAGCCTGACCCTTTCAGGCTCCGAAGAAGGCGAAAACGCCGAAACGTCAGCCAATAAACATTCATAACAACCTCGTCTGAGCAGTTTAAAGAAAAACTTTATAACAACATATAAAAAGCAGATGCCGAGGTTAAGAGACAGTCGGACTTGGGATTAACTTTACTCAGACGATTCAAATTGAAAACAGTTTTTGCTGCAGTTGCTTGGTGGGGCAGCGAACGATACATAGTGAATACTTTACAGGCCACTTTGTGAAAATCTGTAAATGTGGAAGCCAGTATACTCTTAACCAAAGTGGCTCACATGTATCATTTTATAGTTTCGCAAAAGTTCACGTTCACCAGGATGAGACCGGCTAGTCAGCAGGAACAAGCCAAAGGAACTAGTGGAAGCGCAAAATGCCCTTCCCAAGCCAAACATCGCCCTGATTTGGATTAACTATGCCACGGGTGCAAAGATTGAGAGATGTTTACTCGGACCGATGTCGATGGCCTTTCCTAGATACCTTCAGATGTTTACTCGGACCGATGTCGATGGCCTTTCCTAGATACCTTCAAACACTTTTCTCAGATTCAGTCAATCAAACTAGAACTGTTGATAACAGAGGAAGCGCGCCTTTTCAGTAATTTTTATCTCAATTTGTCTATTTGTTTATTTCAAATCAGTTGCACCCGTCACGAGGTTGTCGTAGATTTTGTGTAAGTACAAATTTAGCCTTAAAGGGAATGTCTAAGCAAAATCTGCAAAAGCAATGTCAGTTAGTCCTCAACATAACGATAATCTTAATTTGGCACGGAAGCCCATGTATTCAACGGTGAGTGATAGCTTTTGAGTAGTCAAATTAGAAAGGAAGCAAACTGGGAAGTTGCAATCTGAGGTTTTTCTTCTAGTACATGGGAAGTTCATATAGTAAAAGTGGCGCTCGTACAAATAAGCTATTGTGGTATCACAAGTTTTGTGCTTCTAAGTTAATTTGACGTCTTCGGTTAGGGAGGGGCAGTTAAGTTTTCGTTAGTTCATTTGATTAGTTCCTGTTGGCTGCCACGTCAGTTTCGGTAAAACCTGTAAACTTGCGTGAAGCTGCCAAGTGGTACTAATGAGCCAGTTCGGTCACAAGAATTTACAGGGTTTCACAAGGTATCCTGTACAAGTTTCGCTGATTACCATCCATTCGTTGCCATACCAGAACTGAAGTGTCCTTGTTTTTGTTGTTTTCCATTACATTACCAAAGTTTCAATGTTGCAATAATTGACTGTGTAATTAGGCTAACTTCTCTTTTAGCAAAGGGCACACATCAGCCTTTATGTAGGGAACAAATAGGTCCTCTGAAGCCGATCTCCACTTACACCCTCGAAAAGGGAGCAGAAGTCTTTATTGCTCGTGGATTTTTGAAAACAATCTGGCTGTGATCTTTGTTAAATGGTGAGCTAAATTACAGGTTTGAGTGCAATATTTGCTTGGATACAGCAAAAGATGCTGTGGTATCTATGTGTGGTCATTTGTTTTGCTGGCCTTGTCTTGTGCAATGGTTGGACACAAGACCAAATCGCCAACTTTGCCCCGTTTGCAAAGCCGCCATAAGTAAAGATAAGGTTTGTTTCGTGATTTCTTTCGAACGGGTTTCCTTTTGTTTTCCTTGATTGCGGCTTGTGACCCTCTTACGGTTTTCTTGCTTGATTTCGCTACTACGATAAGAAAACTTCATAGTTTTGAGGTGATTCCACTTTATGGTCGAGGAGGCGGATAATACCGATCCACGTGAGAAAATGCCGCCCCGTCCAAGAGGTCAACGAACTGAAGCGCCACAAGTAAGTATTTCTGCCGCTCTACTCAGGCAGCATCTGTAGGAAAGAGCTCCAGTTCCCACGCAGCTCGCTCCTCGGTAAAAGCGCGTTCACACCTCGCAATCCAATCGCTTGGATCGTGCGAGCGCTCTAATTTATGAGCTATTTGTTCCCAAGTTTAGTCAGTTTCTGTTCCAAATGTAAGGTGCCAAAATGCCATCTATTAAATATTTTATAGCAGCGACTAGACTGTTACATGATTTTTTCCGACTTCCATTGCTCTTTATGCATTAATCGGCCTATGTACGCGATAAGTGCTCGCTGGTAGTGCTCGCTTAGCACTTATAAAAAGCTTGGAAAGGCTTTTGTTACTTGTTGATAAGATACTAGGGTTGATAAAACAGTAGGAAATGCTGCTTCCTATGCTTAGAAAAAATAATCGGCCACCCATCAGAAGGTTCAAATCGGCATCCGTTTCAAAAGCATATCATAGCGCATTGAAGCAGGATGTGGTGAATACTATGTTGAAGGTCTTATCCGCTTCTCTTCTGAATCAAAAAAAGCTGCAGTAAGCATTTTTTTATCGAGTGGTTAGTTGTCTGCGAGCACAATGTAATTTTTTTTGAAGTGTGGCGGACATCTTCGTTTCCTCCATTAGCTCAACGGCACAGCATATATCACAGCGCGTGGAGGCATGGCCCATCATCGTTGTGGAAATCGCATGTTGGTCGTATTTTGCCGTTGGGAGAAGGGGGAGGGGGCGTATTTTATTGTGAGATTCTCCCAGTTGGGTTTTTTTTCCTGTTTCGCGCGCGTTCACAGCACCCGCCCCGTTCGACGGTAAGGTTTTGAGGAAAACTCAGCTAGATGGAAGGTAGGAAGACGTCATACCGAAGGAGAATTCGGGTTAGGGGGTGTCCTTGGGAAAGTTTTTCACAATGTGCCCTCCTGTAGAGCGGATTTCCACGGTCTTAATTATGCACGTGGTAGTCGCCCCGTATCCGTGGGCATTCAATAAAGTTTACGCAGACAGGGGTCAGGTCAGTGTCAACATTCCTCCGTTGCTCCACTGTTTCCTGATTCACTTCCGCTCTATTCCTGAGCCAGAAACAGTCTCTTATTCACAACCGTGTCAGTGGACACGGCCTATCAATGTGACGTGATGTGGACTATTGTAGAGCTCAGTCTCGTGCGGTAGAATATGTTTTATTTATTTATTTAGTTTACATGCAGTAGCACATAAAACAAAACAATAAGAATGCAATCAAATACCAACACAAGTAACAACTGATTGTATAGCTTCTCTGCATTACTGACAAATCTCCAACACTAGCACCCTTTTCAACCGTTGAGATGTTGATTCTGTTTCAGCAGGGCTTTCCTGGATTTCAATGGGGCGATGGTGGACCAGGTGGTGGTGTACAGTTTTCTCTAGGAATTGGTGAGTATAGTAATCTCTTAGTGTGTATTATCTTTACTTTCATTGTTACTAGCTTAATTGTGATGTAATGACACTTCAATTAAAGTGCGGGCTATATTTTGGATTCAAAATGTGAGCTAAGGCACATACAAAAAATTCCGCGGAATCTGTGGCTTTTGGAGGAAAGGATTGTTTACGCATTGATAGGATCCTATTCTCCCAAGTCTGCCGGATCGCCACTCCTTCCACAGGGGCAGGGCTAAGCGATCATTTCCTATCTAAGCGCAGTTCGGCTTGGGCGGGGGGGGGGGGGAATCATCTTATCCTTTCGCTGATCCCGTCCAAGTGTTCACTGCTTTACAGGAGTAGACAGGTGGTTCCTACAAATATTGGCCGGTTTCGCTTCATGGCCTTACAGGATTTAACAGGTCCCCACTCGATAGCTAGAACCGATTACTGGGAGTAGCGAAAGTGCAAATTGCTCCCCCCCCCACCTTCCGTTCGGAGCCGAACTGTCTATAAATATCTAGTCCATGTCTACATGAAGATGTCTATATAAATTAAGGCATATTTGGCTGTATTTCCTTATTCGAGAACTTTTTAGGCGTTTTTCCCTTGTCTTTCTTCACAACATGGTTCAATGCGCCACAAGATCCACGTCCAGCTGCACCTCAACAAGGTTCTCGTCAATATCAGGAAGAGCAGTTTCTTTCCAATGTGTTCCTTTACCTTGGTGTTTTCTTCGTTTTATGGCTTGTATTCGTTTGAAATCCTTGCCAAATAAGTAATTCGTATGGTCATTCCATCAGTAGACTTCCAATTTTGAAAACATTCAGTGAATTTTGCTTGAAATCGTACATATGTGCACTGGTCTATATCAGGCATTCATGTTTTGAATATCTTCTCCCAGAACAATCTTTTCCTTATTGTTCCATCTGATTACTGAGTAAGCTGTGACATACGGATCAAGTTTTTCTAATCTTTGAAATCTGTGTGATGTACTAAAGATAACCCGTGTGCCTATGAATATCTATGTCAATCGTGAATATAACAAACTCCTTCTGTAGCTTTCAGTCCTATTGAAAAGTACCTGCGATAACATTTCTGGTTATTTGTATGATAGATTTTTTTAGTTCATGCAATTTATTGGAATAAATCCTATCTGTCATTTTCTCATAGTCGTACTGCATCGCCAACTGCTCCTACTGACACTTTGTTTAATTCATCTATCATCAAATCGCAGATGTCGAGGTCCCGTGTGAATTCGAGGCGGAGGCGGGGTAGTGGTAGGCGGTGCACAGACGTGCTCTGGGGGTCATGTTCCGACTTGGAGGTCGTACAGGCCTTCTATCGCTTCAGCTAGTGCAAGACTTGCCCCCAGCGTACTATAAGTCGGGGCGGGAGGGAGGGATCGTGTTTTCAAGAAAGATGTCCTGGCTGCTGACTTTTCTCCGTTGGTAGCTGACTTTTCTCCGTTTCTCCCGTTTCATGTATGCCACATTTACCCCCCTCCCCCCCTCGCCCACGTGTACAGTGGTAGTAGGGGGGGGGGAACTTAGAGAATTTCCAAAGAAAATAGGTGGGAAGTTTGGCAGGTAAAATGATTCGTGATCAAATTTTTCCCCAGTAGCGGGATGGCCCTGCTAGTAATGTAGAACACAGTTCTCCAAGACGAGCTGCTCGCCTTGGAGCTCTGCACGAGCAGGATCCCAAAATGCGAACAGAAGCCGAAATTTGTCGAGCGAGTGAAAACAAACTGATAGAAGAGAAAGGGATGGGAACTATCAAGAAAGAAGAAAAAAAAGAAGAGGCTGACCATCAACTACGTTTGGTAAAGCTGCAACGCTATTGATAGCAGTCTTGTTCACTGCTGATGGTGGGGCAGTTTGGCTGGATTTGGCGCGCCGCTAGCCCGTTCTCCACTAATTGATGGGGCGGTAAGTGATAACAGCTGGTGAAAAACGACTGATACGAACGATATGATGAAGGTCTGCCGCATGCCAGAACAAAAAAGAAGAGGAAAAAACGGGCTGGCGCCGAGACAAACCCGTTCCTTCTTCACACGCCCCATCATCCGCAGCGACCAAGACTATATGCCCGGAAAAACGACCAAGTCGACAAGGAAGCACCTTGTCGAGAACGACGTCATCCACCCACAAATTAAAATACGATCCCATCCCTTTCCGTAGAATCCTCGGCAATGATATGGGTTGCTCCCCCTCCAGTCAATTCATAGGCTCGATGACACGCAGGTGCCCTTACGATCCGGTGTGCATGTCGAAAGCATAGCGCACCCAACATTGAGTGCTTTCTGCTATTTTCCTATTCCTGAACTCGCAGTTAGGTTACCTTAATCTCGCAGTTTCACGCCAAAATCACTTTCTTTCATCTTCTGGAATTCAAAAGCTGTGAGGAAATTGGACTTTTTTCCCGAATCTCCATTCCCATTCCCCTCCCCATGATTCGAACGACTAACTTCACTGGCAACACAAACTTTCTAGTGAAGTTCCAGAAACACCGATAGCGCAAGCGATAAACGCTTTATGAACAATATATAATATTAATCACAATATTACAATATAACCTTATTCGAACCCGAAAGACAGGAATGCGGTTGGCACTAAACGGGTTACTTCTTTAGAGTTATTTTCCCATTACAAAATATACAACAACGCCCACAACTGCAACAATTACTGCAAGAGCAATCAGTAGGGTGAATATCGAGCCAACATCGTCTTCTTTCGATCTGTAATTGGCGATTGGTGTGTCATCGAGAGGAGCGCGTACCGTTTCCATTTCTTCTATCTCCAAACTTCGCTCCCAGCCTTCGTCAATGTGTTCTGGAAAAGTGAAAGAAACTACTCAACTTCTGCCATGATTTCACTACCAGATGCAATTAAATTTTCAGTTGAAGAGATTAATGCGATGAATTCCACATTCGCAAGTAAGGGGAGTGAAGGCCAAATATAAATCGTAGTCAATTTGCTTACCAGTGAAAAGGACCGGAAGAAACCGTTGCTCAGCCGAGTCCTGGTTGCGCCGCCGCCGACTGGTGTCGCTCGAGGAGTATTGACGACCCTAGCGTCTATTAATCACTTTCGAGCCGCGAAAGTTGTAAAATTCTGCGGTTGCGGACCAGGCACTATATACAAGAAAAAGCCTCTGCTTTACATCCTTAATATGAGAAGGTTGTGGCTGCATGTTTCATCGGAAATGGGTCTGGATGCGTTCCTCATGGGATATTTTCTCTTGGGGTAACTATAGTCCTATCTGTGCTGGACAAAGAGATAATTAGAACTGCCCCAAACGAAAATATCCCGCATCAAACGCAACAGCTGCCCTCTCGAATGGAGTACACGGCTACGCCCCTCCCATATCTTGGATAAGGGTACCTGTAAACATTAGGTAATCGCGAATGTTTGAAGGCTGGGTCTATGTGCAGCGCCAGCCCGTTCCCCAACAGCCGTGAAAGCTGGGGCGACCACAGGGTGCATCGCCCTTGATTTTGAGTCAGTTGTTTTCAAACTCAGAACCCAGAGAATAATCATTCTGTATGAGCTTGAATTATTTCACGAAATTAAGAAGTGAATCCCACCTATACTGGTCTTGAGCCCTAGCAACTCATCAAAATTCTTTTGCGCATCTTCAACGGTATCAGCTTCGAACAGATAATCCGACAACAAGATAGCTGGATGTGTATGAAGGACAGTGGTGGCAGGACGAGGCATCTGATGCACAGAACATGGAGCCGCGCTAACTTCTTCGATGACGTCCATTGATTCGTATTGTAATTCTTAAATTCGGAAACCATGTTCTTCGAAGAGCAAATCCTCTGAAACGTTCCAACTTACCCGCTCTTGCGGTCAAGTTCCTAATAAGGTGGTGCTTAACGGCAGTAACCGCTGAGCCGACATTGGATTTAGCAGGCACTGCTGCACGAATCTAAATAAGCCTACAGATGAACGAATACAACAAAAAAAGAAAAAAAACAGTAACGGTACAATGCGCGATAAGGTAACTTACTGCGACTGTAACAACTTTAGCGACAAAATCAACGGCTCTCTCTGACGACAACTGAAGTTTTAGTCCGGGAGATAAGAACGTTCCAAGGGGAGATACCGACGAGGATACTTCAAGACTACGCAGACCGGCTCAACCAGTGATTCACCAAAAGGCACCAACCCTTACGCGCGAATGCGTTTCTGCTCGCAACATAGATTCTGGATAAAAGCCCGGTCATACAAGTTCCCGAAAGCACGCTGTGCTGTTGGGGGGAAAATGCAAAGCGGGACCCCCCTCTCCCTTCGAACTCTCCTTGTCTGGTACGACTTCGCCCTTCCTCACCATATCTACCAAATTCGTAGATTCTCTCAACTTCCTACCTCTCTTCCCGAATTTTTTTCCCGAAACTTGGTGCACTACAACGAAGGGATTGGTAGTTTTGCCAAGTGTAAGAAACACAGTTCAACACAACTAACCTCTATATCGAAAGACACTTCATGTAGATTTGTAGCTATGAGCGCCTCACAAGTGTTCTCTTTGTTCTCTGAAATGTCCACATCATTTCCTCTGCTACAACAAAATACGCAAGAAATGTGAATCTCAAAGGCGAACTGAACCGGAACCTCTTCTCTCCATTCTGCTTTTAAATAGAAGCTCAGAGTCGTCTTATAGTGTAGTTCGCTGCGGTCTCTTAGGCGTGTCAGGCGGGATCAGTTTGGCGCGTTCAACAGGTGGAGAACGCCAAACCCGTTCTGCACCAGTTCTTAAAGCGAGTAAATGATATGACTGTATCATATCGTTCGTGTTACTCTTACGCACTATTACTGTTACTTTTCTACCACCTTTCGCATGCGCGCTTCAACAAGATGGCAGAGAACGGCTTTGACGGGGTTACACTAATGCCTGACACTCCCAAACGTCCGCAGCGAACTAGAATGGGTGTCAGCACTGATAGAGATGTTTCAAACACTGTTGCACTGTTTTATTCATAGAACCTAATAAGACATTCTACGGCTATAGGAAATTACTTCTGATAACCCACCAGTGGTGTCGACAAAGATTTGCACATCTATCGAATCCGCTTTTCTCTTTTTCACATCTTTGAAGAGTTGCTCCGACTCATCTCGAATTTCTCCATTGATCAAAACCTTCAAAGGGCTATGGGTTAGTTCAGGCGAAGCGATACCACAAAAATCTCTTAGTTGCTTCACCAAGTGTTTTGCTGCAACAACCCTCATATTAACAACCAGGGCACATTGTACGTTGGGATCTTCAACGAAGGGGGCGCAGGTAGATGGAGGGAGAGGGGTGCCGTACTTTGCCTCTGAGAGAAAAGTTCGTCGTTGTTCGGTTTTCTCGGCTACACACCACCCACCCCTCTCCTTCTCCCGTTCGTAGTTGGTCGTGGAAAACTGGCAAAAAGTGGACGGAGTTTTGAAGCTGCTGCTTGGGACGAGGGAAAGGGTTGTATCAAAGGAGGAATGTCGAGGGAGAGAATCGAGTTTTGCAAAAATTCTCCTCAACGGCAGGAGGTGTCTTGTTATAAATGCAGACCAACACCGCATGGAGAAGGTAACTACGAGCAAAACTCCTTTGGTGTTATGGCCGAAAGAGTCGCTTACTGTGAGCATCGCTTATATCCACTTCATGAGCCTCATTCAACTCAAATCAGACCAAAGTTTTTGACAATAGAGTTCGCTCAAGTTTTAACAAACTTTTACGGGCAAATGTTTTTCCGCTGAAATACACAACCTTTAAGAAATGGTGCGTTTGTATAATTTATTGTCTCTAGCTTCAAAGGATTGCGATTCTCTCGTTACCCGCATGTTCTTGACATGTCCAAAGAATAAATAAATTGTCAATTATTTGCACAGTAAACAAGAAATGTAGACCATTTGGGGGCTTTAACCTTCTCTTGTGTCGTGATCTTCACGAAATGAAAAACAAAATTTGGCGCTGTTCGGCGCAGCTCCTCTAGTTAGTTCATTTCAACTAACAGGTCTCACTTTGGTCAAACACGTTAACTCCTGCTGCAAAATTATTCTGATGAGCCTTTGGTCGCAGCGCAGGACTATACAGTTCTTCCCAATAAGGGCATGAAGGAGCTTGGCTAAGTACCATCTGTTAACCCCATCGAGCCGAACTGTTTCCGAAACTTCAGTGAAATAAGGAAAGAAGACAACTTACCAATGGGCAGTTCAATAGATTCTCCGCAAAAGGCTTCATTGAGGCTATGAATTCCGTGAAAAAGTGGGACTGCTTCTGTCGTGTTGGCACGTTCAGTGTGACTCTTGCGGAGGCATTTGAGACCACTGACACCCAATCGAGCTTGAAAGAGATTGATGAGAACATAGTCAGAAAACTGGATGAAAACTACACGATTTCTTTAGCTAAATCATAAGCGGTAATGACAGGCGTTCATACTATGCTAACTGAGGAGATTGAGCGCTCTGGGAGATTCGGCATCCGGCGCCGATCGATAAGTATCCACTTCTTTGGCGCGCGACTGCCGCCAACGTCGATTCGCCCGAGAGGCCAGGAGCCGTATGCTATACTTCCCCTCGAGGGGAAGATATCCCCCAGTAAACCTCCGCTGTCTGCCGTTATCTCTATCAATGCCCATCGTCTCTCTGCTTCAGCCTCTCTGCATCTCTGTTCCCCCAGTCACCCGGAATCTCCCCCAACGGCATGTGTTGGGGGAGAGGGGAAGAGATCGATTATTCTCTGCGCTGTACTATATTCGCTCAGAGCGTGCGCCAGAAGAGTATGGATGCAGAGCGGCGAGAGCCAGAGAGACGAGGGGCATCAGTAGAGATAAGGGCAGGGAGTGTAGGATTACTAGGGGATGTCTCCCCTCGAGGGGAAGTATAGCATACGGCCCCAGGGGCACGGTGCGTTTTCACAGTCGTGAATGACATCTTATGCGGAGAACATTTATGCTACAGACATAGAGTCGGTGTTGCATTCGCGCTTTTACAGGAAAATGTGCTACCCAAGCACACACACTCGACCATCTTTAATTTTCCATACATAACTCAGGCAACAGTTGCAGCAGGGGTGTCATTCTTGCGGGCAGGCTCGACAACGGACTAGCCTCTGTGGTCAGACA